CCCAGAATTTCTGCAAGTTTTAATGAAAAAATCATTAACTCTTAAAAGTATCCATGTTTAGAATGTTAGGATTCCTCATTTCATCCATAAAGGAAATGCTTTTACATTACTTTTCTTTTATGTTCAACTCCACTTTTCTGTATGGTCTAGATGAAGGATACGAAAAATAATTTGATAATCCTGATAATCTAGGAGAAATAGAACACCATATGTTATGGCATATGGTATATGTGACTGCTGAATCGAAGAACATAAATGGGTACTCTGATTTTGTTAAAATATTTTGATAGCAGAGCTCTATTTAAGGCTGATGCTATGATGGAAATTTTGAAATTTTTGGAGTTCCAAAAAAGTGGAAGCAATGAATCTTACGAGTTTGGGCTCATTATGAAGCTATTTTTGTGTTTTTATATTTTTATGAATAATGTAGTTATTTATCGTTGTAAATGTATAATTTAAGGAATTTTGAGTCCTCGAATGCGAGGAATCTAAGATTAATTCAAGGAATCATGATATTTATGGTATATGTACTTTAGATGTCAGACTGTTTATATATAACATATTATTAATATTTTGATTGCAATTAAAACTTAATAGCAATTCTTCCAATTTTTTATTATTCACTTCTTTTGTTATAGTAATTTTTTTCTTCAATTGTTCGTTTAATTTTTCCGTGATTTTGTGAGATAATCTTAATGTGTTAATTTTGTGAGATAATAATATCTTCTTATTAAATTGGATATAACAAACCAAACTTCTGGTCTCTTAAAGTTCATTACTATGATATACGGCTACAGTAGTATTCAGTTATGAGATACTTCAAGTCTTTTCAATTTTAATGTGAATTAAGTCTTGTTACAACTAGTTTGATATTATGCATTTGATTTGAAATGTGAAATTTTTAAATGTGGAGGAGGCCTTCTGAAGTCACGTTATGACACGGCACGAAAAACCTTCCATTTTTCATATTAAGCTGATAACCATTTTTCCCCTTTCGTTGCTAATTAAAAGAAATGTGGATCATGAAGATGTCTTTGTTTGCTTCTGATTAAATGTCCATGCAGTCGGGAATCCTGCTCACTTGGAAATAGCTCAGAGCTCTAAAACTTCCTTTTTATGCTTTCAAAATCCTTAATTATTTTTTGTTCATGTTTGTCAGTAATAGATTAAAAATATAGCATAATATGAAAAATTGTTGTGTATTTTAAATGTAAAACTGTAGCTCTCTATTACTATCTTTTTTATATAACCAGGCACTATTTCAATTTATAAAAATGAACATTGCAGCAGAATTTTTCTGGAATAAAGTAAATTCTGTATTAATTAAGAATGATTATGGAAATAATTAACCTGTTTCCAATGAAAAATTTGTGTACAAATTTTAATATTTTTTTAACTCTGTAATTTTTTTGTGTGCATGCATGTCTGTATGTGTGTGTGTATATATATATGTCATAATAAAAGCAAAGGAAAAGACGGAACACTGTAGATGCGTGATTAGACCCATATTGAAGAAGATTTTGATTGCGTAGTATGCTAGTAATGCTAACTTGGTAATATCTAAAGAACTTGGCAGTCGAGGCAGTTTTAATTCCATTTTTATTTGCAACTGATATTTGTTGCCACAATCACTTGGCACTCTAGTCGTGCCTTTCCACAGAAAATTTACATTTTTGATATTGTTGAGATAGAAAGCAAGCCAGCGAAATTACATCTTAGCACAGTAGAGAGCAAAAGCTGAAGTGCGTAAGCGAAATTACATCTTAGCACAGTAGAGAAGAGCAAAAGCTGAAGTGTGTAGTTATGAAAGATGGAAGCACTCCGAAGAGAAAAGTTTTGGTTTACAAGGTCAGTTTCAGTTCCCAATTATTACGTCATCGGAGCTGCACTGGCCATAGAGTGATCTAGAAATGACGCAATGCAGAGAAGTTATTACGATTTTAGAATAAAGAGGAAGAATTAATGTTTATAGTTTAAACTATAATTTTGATTCATATATTTTTATCATATATATATATATATATGTATATATATATGTATATATATGTATATATATATATGTCTGTATGTGTAATTTCTCTGTATTGCTGTAAATTTTTTCACATTTGCTATTTAGAACCCAACCAAAGGAACCGATGTTATAAATAGCGTTAACTGCTTAATATGCTTCACTTTTTCACCTGCTGCTGCCTGAATAAGCCATGTCTCTCACTTCGCTCTTCTTCTTTTCTAGCATTTAAAAATGTAAACTTTTTTTTTTTTTTTTTTTTTTAATAAATTGTGGGGGTGCAGTTTGCATCCTTTGTGCTTGTACCAATGAAGGATATATCACGAGAAATTAAGATGTAATTGAAAAGATGTTTTAAGAGTGTCTAAGAATAAATTATATGTTGTACTCTGCACATGGGTCTGTGACCTTATTATCTCATGTATTACGCAGTTGTTTCAAGCTATGTCTCTCATTCAACCATCTCGGTGATGACTAAAAAAGTCACTAGTTTCATCTTCTCTAGCCCACTATCTATTAAGTTCTATCGACTTACCAACAAAATTATTACACACATACACCATGTCCACAAAAGTCCTTATCTGGCCTTTATTTTTGCAGCCATTGATTATAGACGTAAATTTCCTGTCATGAAAATGTTTTTAAAAGATGCAGATATTCATCATTTTTATGTTTAAAGAAATCAATTTTATAAAAATTATGCAATCTTATTATTTCCTCCTCATCCCTATACATACACTGGTGTGCAAAAATTAAGGACGAAGTCGAAAAATTAGCATATCAGCTGAACGAAGAGGCAGAGCGGACAGAAAGACCAATCAGGAGATTAAGTAAGGTGATGTACGGTAGCACATGTGCAGATATGCAGGTAGACGTAATGGGGGAGTGTCTGAGTAGTATAAAGCATGTTGTCGGTGTAAGATCAGTATTTCTGGCTAAGAGATTGCACGCCGTATAGCAGTTAAAATCACACCGAGTTGCTGCCTCAGCGAGAAATGGCGAATAATCAATCTGTTAGACGACATCTGGATGCTTTTACCCGAGGTCGAATCATTGGGAAGTTGGAGGAAGGCTGCAGTGTGACAAGTGTGGCTGCAGAGTTCGGAATTGTTCACAGCATCGTTTCACGACTTTGGAGACAATTTCAAACTACAGGAACAGCTATCCGGGGGTTTAGTAGTGGTCGTCTATGAGGAACCACACCCACAGATGACCGGTATATTGCCTTACAGGCCAGAAGAAACAGGCAGCAGACAGCGGGAGAAATCACTAGACACATGACACAGGCGACTGGACGACCGATATCGCGTTTTACCGTGGCCAGAAGACTGCACAGTGGTGGTCTGTTTGCACGACTCCCTGTACGGTGTGTACCTCTAACGCCTGCCCATCGGAGAAGGCGTTCTCTGTGGTGCCGGGAACACCGTAATTGGAGAGACAATGAATGGGGATGAGTACTCTTTACAGATGAGAGCAGATTCAGTCTGAGTAGCGATTCTCATCACATACTCATCTGGAGAGAGCGGGGGAAGCCGCAATCATCCCTCGAACATCATTAAAAGGGACAGGTATGGGGGTGGCAGTGTTCTCGTTTGGGGAGGCATGATGCTTGGTAGTCGTACAGACCTTCACATCTTTGACGCAGGTTCAGTCAATGGGACCCGTTATTGTAACGAGCTTCTTCTTCCATATGTGCATCTTTTTAGAGGCGCATGGGTCCGCAGTTCCTTTTCATGGACGACAATGCACCATGTCATCGCACAGTAGCTGCCGAACAGCTCTTAGAGAGTGAGGATATTGAACGTATGGATTAGCCGGCACGATCTCCGGATCTCGATCTCATCGAGCATGTATGGGATTTTCTAGGCAGACGCTTGGTAGCTCGTACCTTACCACCAGTAACGATTCCGGAGCTTCGATTGGTGCTGCAAGACGAATGGGCAGCAATGCCTCAACAACTCATTGACACCCTCATTCTCAGCATGGGCAGACACTGTGAAACCTGCCTAGCAGTCAGGGAAGATCATATCCCCTATTAAAGACCGGATGTTTCTTGCTGGACATCCATCACAGGGATGTTTCGGCCTTCAGTCGCATTGCGCTACATGCTACTTTTTCAATAAAGCTTCTTTTTATCCCTCTGATTTCTCTTTTAGTACGTGTTGCTTACATTACTCATGTCCTTACGTATTGGAGATCTTACGGTATTAAATGTGTTGATTTGGAAAGCTTTTGTACAAAGTTATATTGAAAAAACTGTCTCGTCCTTAATTTTTGCACACCAGTGTATATAAGGGTTGCCCAAATGAAAAGTGGATACGTGCGATGACGTCAGAATGAATGCATTGATAGCGGCACCACTGCAAAAGTATATAAAGGGGGATATGATGTATGTATCTCAGACAGCCTTTAACCATGAAACCTGATTGTAGGAGATAAAATTGTGTGAAAGAAAAGTCGTGCTATCCATGGATGCGTCCAGATGAGAACAACGCTCGTAGTACGGTTTCTGGTTGTGGAAGGTGAGCGTAATGCGGACATCTATCAAAGAATGGTGACACTGTATGGTGACCACTGTTTAGGTCGTACAGCTGTAAACAAATGGTGAAAAGTTTCCGTGAAGGGCGGCAAAAAACATCGGATCGCCGAGACTGAGCCAAGCAAACAAAGTGATCACCAATGATTCCATTGCATCCGTTAATAAAATTATCCAAGCTAATCGAAGGGTTATGACCTGTCAAATCAGTCACAAACTCAACCTGAGTAAAGAAACGGTTAACACCATTATCCACAAACATCTGGAGTACAGCAAAGTGTGTGTGGCGTGGGTACCAAAACACCTGACCCTTGATCATCAGAAATGACGAATGGGCTTCTGTCTCCAGCACTTGATCCATTATGAGGAGAATCCCTCATTTCTGGATCGTATCGTTGTGAGCAATGAGACCTGGTGCCACTGCTACACACCCGAATCCAAGAAAACGAGTATGCAATGGAAACACAGCTCATCTCCTCTACCACCGTAATAGAAACAACGATAACTGCACGGAAAGTGATGCTTTCATTTTTCTTCGATTCTCGTGGACCACTTTTAATTGAGTTCCTGCACCAAGGGAGCACTATCAATTCTGCACAATATTGCAGTACTCTGATGAAACTGCGACAAGCAATAAAAAAACGGCTGGGCCTTCTCACACAAGAAGTAATCCTTCTGCATAACAATGCCCGCCCACACATCTCAAACACAGGAAACCCAGAGGACCTTAAACACATTCCGTTGGGAAGTTTTGTAGCACCACCTTACAGTTTGGACATGTCACCCTGTGACTTTCACGTCTTTGGGCCATTTAAGAGAGCCTTACAGGGGAAACGTTTCCATTCGGATGATGGAGTGAAGGAAGCCATGCAGGACGTCCTTAGGAATCATCCCCAATCTTTTTACAGCAAAGGCATCGAGCTGCTGCTGCAACGCTGGGACCTGTGTTTCAACGACCATCGTGATTTCTTTTGATTTACAATAAAGGTATTAATTTTCTTCAACTTGTCCACTTTTCATTTGGGCAACCCTTACATTTAGGAAAGTTTTGTCATTATTATAAAAATGTAAAGCACAAAAAGTTTGGCTCTCTCATGACAAAATTGAGTGCATTGTATGATATAAAATTGGTGATTGTATTCAGGGGCCATATATATTAAAGAGTGAAAAGTTTGCATTTTTATTTAACTAAAAATATCTGTTTAGAAAAAGGTTTCTGATGTTATAGAGTCATTAGGTTATTTTGATGTTGGAGACATGAAAAAAAATGAGCAATGCCCTCGCCAGAATTTGACCCTGGACCTCTTGAATACGAGCTGAGTGTGCTACCATCACACAGCAAAGGCATGCAGAAAGGAGAGGAAAAATAACTTATATACTGTCTCTTTAAAAGGGCGACTGGGGATAAGGGGGCCCAGTTGCCAAATCCTGCTGGTGAAGCATCAGCATCCACCACCTTCTAGTTCAGTTGCCTTTCTAGAGACATTAGGTTATTTCAGAGCAGAAAAGTGAAAAATGTGCAATGCCCTCACTAAGACTTGAACCTGGACCTCTCGAATATGCACCAAGTGTGCTACTGTTACACCACGAAGACATGCAGGAAAGAGGGAGAAAATACCTTATAATGTTAGAGGTTTTAAGTGATGAGCATTTCTATATGGATTATTGTGATTTCCCCTTCCTGAGAGGAAGATCTTACTCACAGAATTTGTGTTTTAGAAAATAATGGCAGGCTTCAGTACTGGCCTGCAGCCAACTTGTAATATTATGTGCAGTAATTAAAAATGAAACGTATTTGTACTTTAATGAATTTATTAGAATTACCAGAATGTGGTTCTAAAGTAATAAAGTTACATAAGAATATTAGACTTTGAAAAATTATATTTGTGAAATTTCTTTCACCATATTAAATGTAGCAAAATTATAAGTAAAGATCCTAGTAGCTCACAAAAGAATATCAATGAATGGCATTTAAAATGGAAAAAAAAAAATCAACCTTGAATTATTCTAATGTATTTATTAATGGATCCCTCAATGCAAATTGGAAAAGAAATGAAATATCCAAAATTTGGAGATTAAATATCTTGATTAATTTTTGTCATACGGGAGTTAAAACTTTTTATGTTTTATTTTTTATAACGACTACAGAATTTTCCTTAATATAAGTATAGAGACTGGAGGAACACATACAAAGCTAGATTTTGGAATTTTTAAAATGGATTTCTTTTAATTGAAAATGTGAAAACATAAACCTTTGCGTCATTTACAGTTTTGTAATTGGAAATATATGCTTGTAACTAATGGTTGTGAATAGAGGCTGGGTAAGAACCTTCATAGACATGATGCATAAATATTACCCAATTATTTGGTCTAAACTGATTACACAACTTTTACAGAAGTTAGTAATAATAATATTCAAAAATGTTTGCATATGTATTTACAATTCACATATATTAAAAAATTTATTTAAAGTATTTAATTTTTTTCAGGTATATTAACTTTTTTTATAAAATAAGAATTTTTATATCTATGTTGTTAATAAGTTCAAGCTGAAATGTGGCTTTTTCTTTGATTCAGTTATTGAAAAAGCCAATGATAGCTCTAATTAACTCTCCATAAACCTACTAATTTAATTTTAAGAGTAACCAATTGGATTTCCATGGGCAGGGATAGAAGAGGTTGGAATTCAATTCTGAATAAGGCAAGGCCATCCTGGTCTGTCTGGCCATTGAAGAAGAACAAACCTACTAATTTATAACTTTTTATTATGTTTTTGTAGATGTGTACAAAAATGTAATTTTATGTTTTATTTTAACCCAAGTTCAAAAGTATTTATTTATACTTTAATGCAATATATAGTGTATGTCTTGGTTGAAAAATATGCGGAATTCCTTTTATTTCCATTATGTGAAATTTTTAATTCACTCTGTTCAAAGGGGGGAAAAGTATGCAAATACTATATTTAATCAAGTATTTAATTTTCCTTCTCTTCCTACTAATTTTACTGCTTAAAAATCAAGAGAGAAAAATACATGAAATATACTACTTCTGAAGAGATGGCTTAAATGGTACACTCAGCACATTAAAAACATACATAAAGACATACTAATATTATTATATGTTTCAAAGGACTCTTTCGATTTCAGTAATATTCTTTTTACTTACAGAAAGTAATTTCGTGTGTGTGCATACCTTTTACATTGTCGCCATAAATCAGAAATATTAAAATCATATGTTGAAAAAACTGATGGGATATGTGCGAGTAACTATGGTTGGTATTAATTGTTTTTTAATTTTATATTTCCTTTGATTTTTTTTTTTTTTTTTTTTTTCTGTAAAAGTTGTAAAAAGCACTTTAAAACAGTTAACTTTGTATTCTGCTGTATGGTGGATACAGCGACTGAGTTAATATTTAAAAAAAAAAGTTGTTACCTACTAACAAATTGAAGAAGAAAAAAAGGAATTTAGTGATTCAAACTCAATGAACGCTTTGCTTATTATTAAAGATAAAAGAAATTGTGGAACTCATGTCTGAATTAAGGAAAACTAAAGCAAATCATAATTCTAGTACAGTCAAAAGTCGTTAATTCGGACACCCATAATACGGAATGATCTATAATCCGGACCTCAAATCTACAAACTTTCTGCGCATGCGTTGCGTTGACGCATGCGCGTAAGATCTTTACCGCTGCGAATTTGCGGGTGCGCGTGCGCAAAATACGTTTACGAATGCGTGTTTAATGTATAACGGACGGGATAAGCTAAGCTAAAATTATCTAATTATCTATTTCAGGTAATTTTGCAGATTGCGTTGTTCCTTAATCTTCGAATTAAATCCGGATTATTATTTTTTGCAGACTGTTAGAGCAATTTTATAAAAGTAAGCTTGAACTTTCGATTATGTCAAATAGAATTTCCGATATATATTTACTAATATGTAAAGGATATACAAAGCGGAAGTAACTTTCGGAGTCCATTAAACAAAAAGTGGAATTGCTGCAAAAAATGGATAAAGGCATATCCTTTGTTTATCTTTAACGCCGCGGCGGCGTGCAATGAATTGGAAGTTGATCTCTTAGCTATATCCTTATCTTAAGGGCAGATGTTTTTATTTTTATTTGCCTTATAATTGCTTACTCAATGTAGTATTTCATCTCGATGTACTCCGTCTTTGATATGATTTAAATCAAATGCCTCGTCATTATAATTCGCTTCCGATAGCGAAGAAAGTGACAGAGGTTATTGAAAACGTAAAAATTTCGATTGACAAATTAGTCGGTATTCTCGACACAGCAATTATAGACTTGAACAGCGGAACTTTGTAACTGAACAAGAAATTATGTCTGTTTATAGAATTAAATAGAATGTATTATCACATAAAAAACGAAGCAACTGAAACAACTTACATTGAAAGAAATGTAACAAAGTAAACAAATGTAAAGTAAACAAATAAATATTAAGCTTTTTTTTGTAAATTTTGATACCCTTTAGATCATAATTGTTCTTTATTTCGTAAATTACGGTTTCATATTTTTAATTTTATAATTTCTGCATGCCATTTTACCAGATTTAAACTGATGATCTGTAATCCGGAATCGCCGAAGTCCCGACGAGTCCGGATTAACGACTTTTGATTGTATTAGTAACCCAGTGTTTCTCAATGATGGCTAAAAAAAAGTAGGCTGAGTACTGTGGGACGTTTATGCAAAGTGTGCTTCGTCATAAAGTTTCCTGTACCCTCATGCGGGTCAGCTGTTATTCAAAAAAACAGCATGCATGCACTTTTATGAAGACCAGTTTCTAACTTCAGAAAGCAGCGTTTTCATTTTGCTTTCTGAAGATGAAATAAATCTTCGACAACTTTTATGGAAAACGAAGACTTTCCATAAGGGATGAACCTTTATGGAAAACGGAGACTTTCCATAAGGCTGCTCAACGTCTTTGTGAAAAACGCTGGATTGCCATAAAGGTGCCATTTGGGTTTTGACTGCTGTCAAATAGAACCGTTTTTCAGGTTGCACTTCTCGGAAGGGTTTATTAAAACAGCATTAAAATAATGGAGGTCCGAACAGGAACAAGAAGTATTAGATGGTTCTTTATCATTTATTATATCGTTTTATATATACAAATTTACACATTTGTCCTATTTTATAAGGTGGACAAACCTTCAAATGATTCCTTCTGCCTGAAAAATTAACCGATATGCGGTTCCCCTTTTCATTCCGATATTACATGCATTCTGCTACAAAGCAGCGGCATCTACACTCATGTCCATAAATTAAGGATAATGCAAAATCAGGCAAAGGAAGAGTTAGAAACAAAACAAATTTGACTTATTTGTAAAGCTTATTTATTAAACAAAAGATAAAGAGCAAATAAAGATGCTATATGTTTGATATTATTAAAAAAATTAGCGATTTTTTCTCCCTGGAGCAAATTGCAAAAAACACCTATTTACAAAAACACAATATTACATGGTTGGTATGATTGTTAATACATTGTATGTCTCCCAGACGATGCAATACAGTCCGTACAACGCCTAGGCATGCTGAGTATCAAATTATCGATCTGATCTTGGGGGGGATATTACACCACTCAAAAAGCAATGCTCTCCGAAGTTCCGGTAGACATGTAGGAGGAGGTTGACGGCTGCAACTCGTCGGCCAAGCATGTCCCACACGTGCTCTACTGGATTCAAGTCCGGTGAGAATGCTGGCCAGTCCATACGGGTGATATCCTCCGATTGAAGGCATTCGCTTACGATGTTTGCACGGTGAGGACGGGCGTTGTCATCCATAAACACAAATTGTGCGCCCATGGCGCCCCGAAACAAACGTACATGTTGTTCCAGAATGACGTCCCGATAGATTTGGCTTGTCATGGTTCCAATTTGAACATGCAGGTCAGTTCTGGAACCCAGAATAATTCCACCCCAAACGAGCACTCCTGCACCACCGTAACGGTGTCGTTCAATGATGTTTTCTTGGTGGTAACGGGTACCTGGAGCTCTCCATATGAAAGTAGGGCGAGAATCAGACTGCAAGCTAAACCTGGACTCGTCGGAAAACATCACACAAGCCCACTGTTGCGGTGTCCACAATGCATGCTCTCTACTCCAGGCTAACCGCAGGCGACAGTGAGTTGCAGGAAGTGGAACGCATCTGACAGGTCTTCGAGCATATAGAACAATCTGCCCTAAGTATCCGTACACGGTCTGCCTTGAAATTGTCGTACCAGTGGCTTAAGAGAGCTGACGAGACAGGTCTGAGGCTGTGCTCCGCCTGTTTCTTTTGGCAGTAACTGCCAAATACCGGTCCTCATTCGGCGGCGTTGTAACTCTGGGGCGACCTGTGCTGTAACGTCTACTCACATTACCATCATCTTGGAATCGTTGCCAAAGCCTGGAGATGACACTCTGGGCAATTCCAAGTTCGTCTGATACTTCCAGTTGGGTACGCCCACATTCCAGACGGCCGATAATTCTACCACGTAAAAAATCATCCAAATGCGTCCTTTGTGTCATAACTATTCGGTTATTGCACTGAAATGCTTATAAAGCGCCTGCGAACAATTTTACTTCTTTGCCTGTATTTCTTATATATCACTCTCTTACACTCTCGTCATTGTGACGTACCATCGGTGTCATCTGGTTACTTCCTGAAATTTGCATATGATTCTTGAAGATGTGTGTAGTGATTTTACAGGTGATATATTTATTTTAGAGTTCGATTTCCGCGTGACTCCGAATTATCCTTAATTTATGGCCATGAGTGTATTTTCAACACTCACCACCTGTGAGCTCTTAAATTTGCACAAGCTACAGTGGTGGCCAAAATTGTGGACACTTTTGGAAATTTTTATGTTTTTGAACTTTGTATGCTTATAGAAAATGCTACGTTTCGCAAAATGCAAACTTGTATATATCATTTTAAAGAGAATTTATTACTGAATTCAATACAAAACACAAAATTCAATTATTTGCAATACAAAAAAGAATTATGTACTTTAATATAAATAAAAAACACAGTTATGAAGTGGTTTGTAATGTCAATATATCCGTATGCGACGATAGTAATGGACCAATAGAAATACTTATTGGCGCTGACATTGCAGGCAAGTTGATGACCGGAGGATTTAAATTGCTTACTTCAGGCCTTGCTGCTATAGAAACAAAACTTGGTTGGACTCTTTGCGTCCAACCAATGGTATGCATGAGATGTCGGACAATTCCGCACTGCTCGTCACATCCATGTTGAATAAGGAAATATTGATATCCGATCTATGGTCTCTAGATTCACTTGGAATTCTAGATCCATCAGAGAAGAAAAGTAAACTGGAACTTCAAGAAGAAGCAAGAGATCATTTCTTGTCCACTGTAAAGGTGAATGAAGAGGGGCGTTTTCAAGTCAGCTTGCCATGGCTTGATAACCATCTACCGTTAAAAGATAACTATGACTTAGCTGTAAAAAGATTAGCTTCTACAGTAAAACGACTAAAAGCTGAGAAACTTTATGATGCTTATGGAGAAGTTTTTAGTGAATGGGAACAAGAAGGCATCATAGAAGAAGTACCAAAAAGCGAAATTGATGTAACATGCCATTATCTACCACATCGACACGTAGTAAAAAAAAAACAGTACTACACGAATCAGGCTTGTGTTTGATGCCTCGGCCAAACAAAAAGGATCCCCTAGTCTCAATGATTGTCTAGAAAAAGGTCAGAACCTTATCGAACTGATTCCTTCAATTCTTCATAGATTCCGAATGAACAGAATAGGAGTTTCTGCAGATATACGAAAAGCATTCTTACAAATAAGTCTCAACCCTAAGGATAAAGACTATCTAAGATTCTTATGGTATAGAACTGATGGAAAACTGAAGTATTACAGGCATTGTAGGGTAGTATTTGGAGTTACAAGCAGCCCTTTCTTGCTAGTTTCTGTAATTCACCATCTTCTAGAATCCACTTTGAAACAACTAAATGGAAACCCAAAGTATAAAGTGGATATTATTGAGCAACTGAAGAAGAGCTTTCATGTAGATAATTGTTTAGCAAGTGTGAAAAAGGATATAGAATTGCAACAGTTCATATAAGTTGCTTGAGATACTTTAGCTACAAGAAAGAAAGCTAGAATTACGTGGTTGGGAATATAGTGACCCAACAGATAATTCCTCTAGTACCACAAATGTATTAGGAATGATTTGGGAACGATGTGGAGATTACCTTTGCCTTAATATTACTAACATCACCTACAAGTCTACCAGAAATTTTGTCTAAAAGAGAGATTTTAGCTACTACACACAAAATATTCGACCCTTTAGGAATAGCTTGCCCCGTAACTCTTGTGCCGAAACTTTTACTTCAGCACCTATGGGAAGTTAAGTTATCTTGGGACCAAGAAGTTGATTCAAATTCAAAATCACAATTTTGTAAATGGTTGAATGATTTGCAGTGTCTGGAAAGAATGAGAATACCAAGATGGTTAAACTGTGATCGTGAGATTGAAAATATCTCACTTCATTTCTTCAGTGATGCGAGTAAACTTGCATATTCAGCTGTGGCCTTTGTTCGAGTACAAACAAGAGATTCGGTTCAAGTTCATTTGGTGCAAGCTAAAGCGAGAGTTGCACCCAGCGGAAGGAAAAAGACAACAATAGCTCGATTGGAACTTCTTGGAGCTACAATATGTACACGTTTAGCATCCAGCATAATACCTGAATTTCAAGCTGATGATATTTATTTTTGGACAGATTCGTCTACTGTGCTAGCTTGGATACAGAGAAATGAAGTATGGGACGTATTTGTTCACAACAGAATTAAGGAAATAAAGCGACTGACTTCTATTGAATCTTGGAGGCACGTACCAGGATCACTGAATCCTGCTAATTTGCCCAGTAGTAGAGGATGCTCTGCTTCTTATTTAATTAAATCTAGATGGTGGGAAGGCCCTTAAATGGCTATATTTATCACCAGAAAAATGGCCAAAAAGAAGATTTTAGTGCTGATGAAGAAGAAGAAATAGCTCTTGAGAAAAAGAAAAGGATTATTTCGTCCTTAATAAATCTTAATGCTAGTGAAATAGTTGCTACTAGATTCTCAAGTTATCGTAAGACAATCAGACTGGTAGCGTGGATGTGTCGTTTTGTTTACAACTGTAAAAATCAAAACAAGAAAAAGGATGAACTTACTGTATCTGAGTTAAATGAAGCTGAGAATATCTTGATTCGTTTAATACAAAATGAGTCCTTTAATGGAATAGAAGATAAACGGATTTTAAGTCTTAATCCATTCATTGATTGTGGTATCATCAGAACTAAAATAGCGATATTTCAAAGAGAAGATACATCTGAGCTCAGAACTCCCGCTATTTTGCCAAGTGATCATCCTCTTATGACAAGTGCAAAATGGAGTAGTCATAAGAGCTGTACAAAATCTTTATCCTTTGGAATTATCGACTGCCGAGGAACTTCCATCGAAATTCAGCGTAAGTCAACCATGCGAAAATATTTCGGTAGAGCAAACTCCAATTGATTATGTACCTGTAGAAACAAATAGAATAATCCATACCCATTTAAAATCGCCCACAATAACCAAATCAGGAAGGATAATTAGAGTTCCTCATCGATTGGACTTGTGAGAACAATGTTTAATTTATTATTTTGCAATACTCAATCCCGAATTTCATATTGCTAGGTGGGAGGATGAACAATATTTTGACTCTAATATTTTTGTTTATATTTTTTGTAACTGCAGCTTCTGAGGAATATTGCACGAGCTTCAAGCAGATGTAATTGTTTTCTTTACTCTATAGGTTTTTTTATTCATTATCTATTCATATTATTATTATCTATGTTTTGTAAAAGTTTATGTTTCAGAGAATGGCAACATACTATGATGTTGTTCTTTTTAGAGAGTTAATGTAACTTTTGTTTTCCTCATTTTGAGAGTATGAGTAAAGGAATTATTTAATTATTGTAGAGTCATAAATAACTAAAGAGATATAGATAGTTATTTCCGAGTAATAAATAGTTCTTGAGGTAACAAATTTGGTGAGACTTTTTGAACAAATGCTACGAAGTCTCAATTCTTTATCATTAGAAGGAAAAAAAAACCAGACTGTACCTACACGTCAGCTTACTGTTTTCAAAAAAGCTTCCTTTAGTCAAGACTGCCAAATATTTGAGTATTCTAAATTAAAATGGAATGATCGTATTCACAAAATTAAAAATAAAGCAAACAAGGTTATCAACAGTCCTTTGTTGAAAAACACTCAAGTATGGATCTTGGGGAAACAACGTCTTGTTTACACCTCCATCATCACACCAATTTTTGTTTATGCGGAGTGCGTTTGTTTATTAATTATTAATTATAATTTTTGTTTTTGTGTTAACCTGCGTGGATTGCTACAAAAAATGATTTCCTGAAACTACAAAAAATTTTAAATCCTTTTCTACGCATTATCACTAATGCACATTACTACGTTAGAAATGTGATATTTCATGAAGATCTCAGGCTATTGAAACCTATCTTAGCAAGACAAACACAAAATTCTTCGACAAAGTACTTGGATGTGAATACTTAAATTCATTTAATCTCTTCAACTATAAAATACTTCAATAGGACTATGATCTTAGGCCATTTGCTGCACACCACAAAAAGACTGAACTTTCTTACCACCAAGTCATTTTTCATACTTTCTTTTCATTATTGTTTTTTCATTTGTTTTGTCTTTCTTTCTACTTGTTATGCATTGCATTCCTTTACACTATGCGGAAATTCTCACTTTAAACCACTGCTAGTTAAATTTTAACTACACTTATTGACTTGCTTACTTCACATACCATTCTAGCCCTTTCTTTATTTACGATGTCCGGTCGTTTATGATCCTAATGCCCTCGTTTGTCTCCACTCACTGCTACTCCCTTTCAGGTCTTACTTATCATGATTGTATTTATGTGCCTTTATGGCAGTATATGTCATCAAAACGGTCATTAAAGAATTGAATCTTTTGGCTCTTTAGTGTATATGCAAACAATTATTACACAGTTACTCTTTACAGCTACACATCAAGGTTCTACAGCAATTGTACTGGTCTCTTTCAATTACCTGTATGAGTTTTTATGAGACAGGAGCAAACCTGACCATCTCTGCCAGGATAAATTTCTAATATCTTGCATATTGTTCACAAATTTTTAGGGAAACGGTCGTCATGTACAAGGACAATATAATCAACTTTAAACTGACCAGACGCTTTAGTAAGTGGACATAAAATTCTTAAAGAAAGCAAGTAATGCTTTCTTCAGTGATTCCAAAAGTGATTTAACAAGGTTTGTTAATGTTTATTCCTTTTGATAAAAGAATGTCTAGATCCAATAAAGTCTTCTGTGCATACTCTTGTATGCATAGAAGGCTTACTGGAAGAGAAAATAAATATTTATCAATTAAGAAATGAGCAAGCGTTAGTGGTTAGAATTCTGAAGGGTTATTCTAGATATGGGCATTGAATTAATTATGACTTCGATTTCAATAAAAACCCATACAACGTTACATTACTCGCGACACCTATGAGTAATGTTTTCAGTTACTTGAATTTTTATATCTTATTAAGACCTTCATTTTTGCCTAATATTCCAAAACTCCATGAAGTTTTGAGGATCATCTGAATATTTTTCTAACACTTGTGTAGCAAATTCATCTTAAGTATTTAAACTACAACTTATTAATAATTTAATTTATTAATATTCTAAATTTATGCTGCACAACGTGTATTTTATTTAATAACTGCTCTAATTTGTTTAATTTTAATTGGGATTTTTGTACGAAAGATTTGGTAAGCCTTTTCACTCGTTACTTGTAAACGCGCTGAAACACACAGTGGAATCGGGTGAATTTCTAAGTAATAAACTTGATTTTAAAAGTACTTAACTTTAACCATTATTAATTTATATCACTAGAAGCAGAAAAATTAGCTCCTTAATTTAAGATCACTTGCAAGATTCTAGCTTTAATAGATTTTGAGATATAGTAATTTATTTAACGAAAATTTGCAGTTCTCATTGTGTGAAAAGTAGTGGGGTGATGAATTGTAAAAAAACGACAGAAAGCACAGTTTTTAACAAGCATTTCTGGTTCTTTGCTCACGATTTCCGGCGGGGAGAGTTTATGTTTGCCAGCTCGACCTTGCAGTTGTTCCAGGCTTGGCCCCAGGTTTGACGTGAAATTTGGCGTGTTTAAATTTGAGTTTAGTTCAACGCCGCGGAAAAGGGAGAAATTTTAGATAGCGTAAGGCAGCGTTGGTAACAACTGGTTTTTCTCACAATTTCGGGCGTGTGTTAGCCAATGTGGGAGTCTTGTTACATCTATAAGGAGCTGCATTTTTGGGATTCATTTCCTTGTGACCTCGCTTGTGATTTCTGCTCCTTCTACCTTGCTTCGGCTCGTCGTCCTCCTCCGTTTGCTTGAGGCCTTCAGCATGGTTTTTCGCTTGCGGTAAAGTTTAGTCTTGAGTAGCGATGGAAGGCAACTGCTTTTTCTCGTGGCTTTGTCCCGAGAACCGTTTGTTTTACTCATTTGTAAATTCGCTGCACCTCTTATAAGGAGAAAATGCTGCCTTAAAAATTTGTCTACAGTTAAAAATGAAATATACAGATCTCCAAATCTCCG